GAGCTCTGACTGATGAAATCAACTTCCTGAGATACATCTTTGAGGAGGTAAGAGCTCTCTCTTCCCCTGGGCAGCCTGGAGTTGCAGTGAGGTGTGTGGTGGCCAAAGACACTGAGGTTGGACGGGGTGCCCATATGAATTTAGGCTTGAGAGTCACTTGGACTGCCTGTCTTGGTTGTAGGAACTGTGTCAGATGCAGGCAATCAGCCGGGACCTGTCTGTGGTGGTGTCTATGGACAACAACCGGCACCTGGATTTTGACAGCATCATTGAGGCGGTCAGGCGCCAGTTCGAGCAGATTGCTCAGAACAGCAGAGCTGAAGCTGAGGCTTGGTACCAGAGCCGGGTGAGTTGGGAAGCAGTGATGGAACCTGGGACAGTCCCTGCTGCTGGCTGCCGCCCTTGCCACAGAGCAAAGGAGCTGCCGGAGGTCTGGGTAGGTTGTGTCACTGATGGGTTGCTTTGTCTCCACGCTGTCAGTATGAAGAGCTGCAGAACACTGCTGGGAGGCATGGCGACAGCCTCCGCAACACCAAGATAGAGATCCAAGAGTTGACCAGGAACATCCAGAGGCTGCGGGCCGAGATTGAGAATGTGAAGAAGCAGGTAGGGATTGCTCAGCACCTCGTTGCGTGATGGCATCAGGCTGGGTCATGACTGAGCTGGGTGGTGGGCTAAGGACAGTGTGAAGGAAACGTAGTCATTGAAATGCAGGTCCTTTGGAGGAGACTGATGGTTCCTGCCTATTGTCCATCCAGTTTGTGCCCTCAGGGCTTCTCCAGTGGAGGGTGTGCAGAAGGGAACTGAGAAACTGCTTTTCTGTTTTCTTTCGCAGAATCATCAGCTGCAGTCAGCTATTGCTGAGGCCGAGGAACGGGGTGAGATGGCCCTCAAGGATGCCAGGAGGAAACTGGAAGAGCTGGAATGTGCCCTGAGCAAAGACAAGGAAGAGCTGGCTCGCTTGTTGAAGGAGTACCAGGAGCTGCTGAACATCAAAATTGCGCTGGACGTTGAGATTGCCATGTACAGGAAGCTGCTGGAGGGAGAGGAGAACAGGTACCTCTATTTCTTTCTATCTAGTTTTTCTAGATTCTTGACAGATTATACTATAAATTTGTAAAAGCTTTACATGCAGTCTAAAGATAAATTTTGTATCACTTGTTGTAATTCTTAGCCTTTGGTATGGTTGTCATATTTCTTATATAGAATGTTAAGATCAAGGTTGCTTATTTGTTTTAAAGAATAATTGAGAAATTAAGAAAGAATATGGAATACCTACCTTGTAAAAAAAGTGAAATTCTCAGCTGAGGAAATGTGGACTTCCTGTAGGATTAACTAGTCCCGTTTTCCCTCATCAGGAAGCTGCTGGAGGGAGAGGAGAACAGGTGAGACCTGGCGCCAGGTTGGCCTGTCCTATCTCATTGGGATAGACTGAGTTTTAATCATCTCTCAGAACTCATTTAAAGTTGGAGTGTGGTTTACCTGCTTTTTTTGCCCCAAGATTTTAGAGCAGCAATAGAAAAAAGGTCCCCACAGGGAATATTTCTGAATGGTTTTGATTGTTGTTAGATGAAACAGGAAATAAAAGGAGTACTTGGGAAATTGCGCAGAGCTTAATTGTTTTCTATTACATTAGATTTACAACCTGTGTTCCTTTCCCTGCACAGGCTCTGTGGAGATAACCCATCCAATGTCAATGTCTGTAAGTATCTGTCCACCGTCTTCTCTGCAGAGTGGCTTTTACCCTGGGTTTTGTGAGGATTCTTAGGCTGTCACTCGATGCACAGTAAGCCTGTCCTTCTCTTGCAGCTGTGGTAGGCAGAACCACCATTGCTGGAGGCAGAGCTGGTGGCTTTGGAGCCAGCAATGGCATGGGAGGAGGAGTATGTGCAGTTGGAGGAGGAAGCATCATTGGAGGCAGCTGTGGCGTGGGAGGAGGAATACTCAGTGGTGGCTTCTCTTCTGGGAGTGGAAGAATGTGCAGCTCCGCAGGTGGCAACTTCATCTCAGGAGGTGGATCCTCCTCTGTGCGGAGATGTGTCACAACCACGACGGTCAAATCTTCAGGTGTAAAATACTGAGCCCTGACCTCAGTCCCTCCAAGGAAAGAAGCATCTTCCATCTCCAGCCAGCAGCACAGCCCCTTTCATCCAGAACCAGTATCCACCAAAGAAGTGAACTGTTTCCCATATCACTCACAACTTCCTCAAATCATCCTGCCCAAGGGATTTGCAGCGAAACACCATCCTGTTGGCAGAGGCTGGCTCCTCTCTGAGCTCCACCAGTCTCCAAGGATGAAAGATCTCCCTTGTGGGTACCAGGGACTGTAAAGTTCATCCAAGCATCTCTTGCTGCATTTCTCGCTGCTACCCTTGGCTGCCGCTCTGGCTGAGGAGAAGTGTGTATAAAAGTGCTCTTTCCTTCCACTTTTTAAGGTCTCTTTTTCAATGGCCGTGTTTCCCTTGCAACTTCCGTGTGTCCTGCATGTTACCCACATGCTTGTTTCAGCTATATCAGGAATTCATGTAAGCAGAAGAAACGTGATAACGTCTCATAGTCAGATTTAGGAGTGAGAAGCAGCTCTCTGGAGATGTCCACCCTCCCTTGGTGGAGTAATTTGGCAGCTTTAATATTTTGTAGATTCCTTTCCCTCTTCTCCTTCATACCTGACGTATGTATAGCCTTATTGCAAACCTTCTGTTGCGTGAACCCTACTGCATGGTTGCTTTCTACCAGCACCTCTTTCCTCCAAGTTCTTTCATTATCAATAAACTGCAGACAGATGAAAAGACATTTTTGTGTTGTCTTATCACTTAATGGTCCCCAGGGAGGGAAAACATGCTTTGGTCTTCACCGCAAGGAATGGCAATGTCTCTGGTGTTCTGTCCTGTGGTGTAAATCACTGAGCACTATGGACTGCCCAGCTGAGGGAGGAGGAAGATGGCCCTTCTCCCTCCTCTTAGGAGGTGCCATCTTGCTCCTCCACAGCGGACTCCCCTTCTCTCTGTGGGGTGGGAAAGCCATGGCTGTAAGGAGTGTGGCATGGGGAGGGGACATGTGATGTCATCCTGGTGGCTGCAAGGTGGAGGGATTGCACTCATGTCAAGGGTGGCAGTACAAAGTGTCCAGCCCTTGGTTGATGGGCGCCTCAAAGAAAGGCAGGCAGGGCCACCAACGGGGACATCGTGGCAACGAACAGCAGCAGTTGGTACATGGTGGTCTGGATGTGATGGTTTGAACACGGCGACCTGAACAGGGCAGTTGTGGCCATTGGACTTGGGTGGTTTGAACATGGCCATCAGGATGTGGCGGTTTGAATATGGCCATTGGGATGTAGCAGTTAGCGCCAGCTCTCAGCACAGCTGTCATCCCAAGAGGACATCACCACCATGCAGTGGCTCAGTCCTGATGGTGCCTGTAGCTCCCACCCAGGCACCCTGGAGGCTCTGGTGAGGGAGGACACCAGCGGCAGGTCTGCACTGGGCTGTTAAGGCACCGATGAAGAGTGGTTGTCCTCCACTCTTGGCTGGCACAAGGGCAAGCAGCACCATCTATCTGACGAGCAGGGCTCTTACATGGGCACCGGTGCCTCATATGAGAGTGGTGGGAAGGCCTGAAGATGCTACGTGGACACAGATTACTCATAAAAAAAAGCAGCGTGAAAGTATGAGACACAGCCTCAAACCTGCTATTATAGCTCCAGGTTGCCCAGACAGGTTAGTCATTAGCCTTCTCTAAATAACATCCCATTGCAACCAAATTAATTTGATTAATGATTGGCTGGATTCTTCCCCAGCACTGGGAGGAGTGAGAGCCGGACCCGTAGGTGAATCAAGCCTGGCTGCACTGTAGTCTGCGCGCTACGCTGGAGCAGGCCCAGTGTTTGTCAGATAAAAGTATGGCAGCGGAGAAGATCTTTATTGTAGAGTCCTTGCCGTCTAAATGAACAAAACGAACGAGGAAGAAAGGATAGTTCTTATTTCAACTAGTCTTGCTTTCTTGCTGTTTTTCTTTTTTTCCCTCAAATATTCTTTCAGTTGACACCTGACTTCTTAAGCTGGTGTTTATACCAGGCAATAATATGCCTTACTCTCTTGTTTGTATAAACAATTACATTTCTGATTCTAAAATTTATAGGTTGGGATGGCAGGCACCAAGAAGTGGTCTCCTACTTCCTCATCCCAGTGAGGAGTCCAAGGACAGGCACAGACGAAGATGGTGCGAAGCCCTAGAGCATTCCTGGGGACTTCCTTAAGAGAATCGCGGGGAGGCTGGGGACCTCCATTGCGTTGAAACCCAGGAAGCCGAAGACGCAGGCTTCATCCTGCAGAAAACCACAAGCTTTTTTTTTATAAGTTCCCTGAGCCTTTCCTGGAGAGGGGCCAGGCTGTAACACGGAGGTGCCGGAGCTTATCTTTCCCATCTGCTATGCTCACAAAAAAAAAGGGAGTAATGCTAATTGCTCAAGCACATCATGCTTGATCGTGACAGCCCAGTGACTGGGCTTCCAGCTCCCCTTCATTTGCTCCATGGGGCACTGTGCTAGCTGCTAGCTCTAGTTGAAAAGTAGATCCGTATTTGCAGCAACGAGGCCTGTTCTGCTTAAAAGGAGTGAATTTACTTGTGAAACAGCCTCAGTGTGATCAAGCAATGATCTCTCTTCACTACGTTTTGGTAGAGCTGTTGCCATTGTGGACATAGAGGATAAAAGATACAGAATAAATATATTTTTTGGTTGTTTCTAAATTCTGTTTTTCTACAGTGAAGGGCATGTGCCCACTGTGCTAATACAAAATCTGCCCCCAGGAGTCTCCTGAGGCTCTGCTTAGGTGCTCACGAGAACCTGCCTGCATTTTCAGATGATTTTTGGCTTGCAAAGATTTGTGTTCAAAGTGAGATGGCAAATGCCTTACTCCTAGCGTTTACCACTGAGTCTCCATCACTCAGTCTGAGTGACATGGGGTCGTGAAATACAGTCTGGGACTGCTGGCTTCTCCAGTCACCAACTGGTTTAGTGCAAGACCACTGGTGGCTACATGCCCTGCAGCTCAGAGGACAGCTAGGTCTGAGCTGGTGGGACTCAGAGCACTCTTCCTTCCACCAAGCATTGTTGAGGTGGAACAGAAAGGAGCTCTCACCCTCAACAAAGCCAAGAGCAAACTGGGTGAACTCTGCAGAGCCCTCAATGGAGCCGAAGAGGAGCTTGGCCATGCACTGAAGGGATATCAGGACTTGTTGAGAGCAAAGATAGCCCTGGACGTTGAGATTGCCATGTGCAGGAAGCTTCTGGAAGGAGAGGAGAGCAGGTAGATGTCTGTCACATAACCTGGTTCATGGCGTGAGTGGTGCAATATTCTTTGCATTAGACCATGGAAAGAAATACAACAGGTACAATATTTTATGACTTTATTGGGGAATGAATCCAGGTGGCATTATATTGGCTATAATTAGAGCTGTAATGAGTTTTAATTGTTACTAATCACGTATATTATGGGAGGGCCTCCAAAGCTACCAAGATTGCTTCCCTTGGGTTGGTCACTGTGCAAATATGGAGGAGACTCACCCACGTTGTGGTTGCATTGGATTTGACAGTGAACAGCTGGTAAGCAGGAAAAGTTTGCTTTTATGAGTGTCTTTGCTTTGTTGAAAAGATGGGAACATTGTCTCCTGAGACCTAAACTGCCTCTGCATACTTGATACTGTATTTATGTGGCACATATCTCCTGAGCAGCTGGAGTCCTTCATGATCCTGAAAGATGAGATGTTAAGGGCAATGGAGCTGAGGTGCAGAGGTCATAGGAGGTTAAATGCAGAAATCAGCATCCTTTGATTCTTTATTTACACTTCAAACAGCAACAGCAACACCCCCAGCTCACTCGCCTCCAGCTCCAGTTGTCCAAATTCAAAACTAGCTCAAATACTCACTAGAAAACATGCTGACTTTCTCAAGAGAGACTGAAATCAGCATATCATGAAAACAGCAATGACCACGAAATATCTGGGCTTGGAAGGAGTTTTAAAACTCAATGGTGAAAGACCTAAAAGCTTTTGTAAGCCAACATATTGACAAATGTACCTAAAGGAATGTAGCTACGAAAGGAATTTATCTAAGGGGCGAAGTGGAGCTCTTCCATTTGCTTTTTCAAGCTGTGCCCCTGTTCTTTTCTTCTAGATGCTAAAACACATCCTTCATTGCCTGTGTGGATCCTGGCTGCTCTTGCCTTGGATTCATCATGAGTGAAATTGGTTCTGTTGTAAGTCTCCAGGGATGTCTTGTGCCAGCAGGGCAAATCTTGCTGACTGGCTTACTGGGATCCAAAGAAGTCCGTGTCCTAGAGCATCATCTAGGGCTTTGCAGGAGAATTTGGGCTCTTCATCTAAGTTAATATTCACCTCAACTTTGATTGTAGAGACTGTGTCAACAGTCAAGTGCCTTTCATCCCACCCTTTTCTTCCTGTTTGATGTCAGCCCCCTTCCTCTGTGAGAGTGCTCAATGAACTGCAAGCAAATCACATGCTGCTCCTGCGTTACGTGTCTCTGAACAAAACATCTGCTCCCACACAGCCAGGTGACCTGGCTGAGTGCTGCCAGTGGATGTGGTGTACCTCCGGCTCCCTCCTGGCCCCATTTCAGCCAATGCTCTCTCAGCTAAAGCTGGGATGGGTAGAGCAGGATCTGCAGAACTTATGGCAACCACATTGTCTGTGTCAGGTGCTGAAAGCAACCTTTCCTCCTCTTCTTCCTCACCTCCACTCTGGCTTGGATGCTGGTGCTTCTCTGCCCTTCATCTCGCTCTCATACCCACCAGGTCTGACCTAAGAATGGGCCAATATTCCTTTAGGTTCACACTCATTACCCCGCAATGCACATTTTCTGACCAGTTCTATTGCTGGTGCCTATCAGGCCTACCTGAAAGTCTACCTGGCATGGCATGGCATGACAACATCCACTCTTAACTAGAAGTATGGGTTGAAGCAATTCTACATCTCCCGTAGCCTGGGGACTCAGGGCTTGCTGGGAAGACATGATGAAGGTAGGGAAGACACGGCCACAAAATGCCACTAGAGGGCTTGCAGCCTG